GTGGTGGAAGGGAGTCCCCATTACCTGTAAAGCACTTTGAGTGGAGTGTCATTATTATTCATTCCTGGGCTGCTATCTGCACAGAGTTTGTATGTTCTCACCGTGTTCATGTGGGTTTTCACTGAGCGCTGCAGTTTCCTTCCACAGTACAAGACATGCTGGTACAGCAGGTTAATTGTCTTATGGGAAAATTGGCCCAGGTGTGAGTGTGTGTGTATTTGCATCTGCGTGTTTGCTCTGTATTTGACTGGTTCTGGCCAGCGTGTCCTGCCTTGTGCCTGTTGCTGGCTGGTATAGGCTCCAGATCCCCCGTGACCCAGAATTGAATAAAGGAGTTAGAAAATGGATGGAGGTACACATAGAGCATATGGGTAAAGTACTACTATACACTGCATTAAGGACTTACCTATAAAATTTCAGGACTACAGGTAATAAATGCAGCTACAAGTATTACTAAACCTACAGACTGAGCACCCCAAGCGTATATCAGAAAAGTGCATTGCTGGAAGTAGATATAAATAAAAGTACAAAAACAGAAGTAGATTAAGAAAAAACGAAATTCCGGAAAACACTTCTTTCTCTAAGAAAATTACCTGGCAGCCGAAAACAGCTTGAGACAGATGAAATACCTTTCATCATTTTGTTTACTTTTTTATCTCCTGCTTCCCACACTCCCATGCTGGAGACATGGGAGAAAGAGACTTTATTAAGGAGCTGAGGGAGCTGTACGGAAATTGATAAGTATAGCCTGATTGCTGTGCACCCGCCAACAGTGTAGACTCTCCCAAATGCCATTGAATGAAAAATAAATGAGTCCATTTGACACCTGCCTTATTAAACTGGCTCAGGATGAGCTTGTCCTTATGTGAACTGTTTTGTCTCGTGGTCTTCAACTCTCATTTCCAGTGGCTTTGTACATAACATACGACTCAAGGTGAATTTCTCATCAATCCCTCAAGAGCTAAATGAAGTCTTAATTATTTCCAGGTCTTGCCTCTCAACATTACAAGAAACTCCTAACTGTACCAAATTCAGTAAAAGACCTTTAGAACACATCTCCTGTCTTTACTTTTCACTTTGTTAAGTCTCTCCTTTTAGGGGGCACTCAGTCATAATCATACAGGTGGTATCTTCACACCACTCACTCCTCAGCCAAGCACAGAGATTAGATGTCTGAACCTGTGGTTCTTTAAAGAAGATAATGGCCATGCTTTGTGGAAATCAAGTTCTGCGGTATTCCTGTCAAACCCAGTTTAGAATGAGGATCTGTGTCAACCTGTGAGCATCAAAGGAAGAAGTAGAGGCTAAATCCACGCTGAAAAGTACAAGGAACAAAAATGGACGAAAAACACATTTCTGATGTGAAGCCTTCTTCAGCTGTGAGGAGGAGAGCTGGAGAGATCAGAAGGATGAGGCAACGGAGCAGGGAAGACCAAGCATCCAACTAATTGACAAGCAGATTATTAAACGAAGTGTTGAGAAATGATCTGGGATTCACATACTGTACAACTCAATAGCGAGCTTCACTTCTTAGTACTAGAAAGCAGCTTCTTCTGAGAAAAGCAAAGCATAGGGTATAATGAAATAATGAATTCCACTCCCTGGGAAACCTTCAGCATATGAAAACATTGTTTCTGCCACTGAATTTCTTCCAGCAACCTTAGCAGCTCCCAAAACAAGCAAACAAAATTATTTTATCAAAATGCCAAACAAAGCTGAGACTATTAAATAAACCCCAATGACCGCTACAACCGTCCAGATAATATTTGAGGCATTTCAAGTATGAAGATGAAAACCATGATGGGGAGTTTTCGTGTTGTTGTTATGATCTGCAGATTCTGTGTCGGCCACTGCCAGAACAGAATTGCAAGGATACACAGTACAGGAACTCGAAAGAAACAATTTCTGTATTTCTACATTCTGACCAGAGCTCCAAATTGCTGCCCGCAATGTTATGTTCTTCGTCAGCGAGTTTCATCCTTGCCCCAAGACGGCCCTAGCCCTTCAGATTTTGTAGGAGATTGGACTAAAGATCTTCTTAACCTTGATAAATTAAATTGGTTATTGATTAATTGAAAGCATGTTTGGGAAGAAAGCTACCAGATTTGACACGTTTTCAGGGTAAAGACCAAAGACCTGAGGTGTACTGTATATACTGTAATACGCTGTCTTTTTGAGAAGCCAATACCTTATTTACCTTATTGATTAAGAAGCTACAAAGGCAAGAAACTATTCTGTGGTTCCCAGAAGAACCAGAGAAACAAAACTGCTCTTATCAGTACATTCCAACATCACAATGCTTTTCATCATTCTTAGTGCATTTTCTTCAGCGCTTGAAGTTCCGCATGAACTTTCTACAGCACCTTGAGACCCACTCAGCAAGAAAAGAAATAAACAGCATCTGGACCTTGAAGTCAAGAATGTCTCTTTGTTTTCAGAGTTCTGGGGGGGGAGGTTTCTTGGCAAGCCAAGTGGAGACTGTTGATGTAAGACAGTCACAGCAGACAAACCTCTCCCCAGGTGTCATCACTCAATACACAGCTACCTTAGGACTATCGTCTGTCTTGATCTCATAGTAAACTCAGCCAAACATTTAATCCTTTTAAACAGCTAAGGCCTCTCTCCAGCACTCACTGTTACTTTTACATTAATGGCAAATAAGTCACTTTTGGGATAGCAGGAGAAATTTATTTGAATTTTCAAGTTATTCAATGTTAAAGTTAATTTGTTTAAAATACAGATTTTTGTAGGGGTGCATTTGGGATTTTCAAATTCTTTTTTTGTAAGCATAGAAGTTGTGGCTAATTTCATTTTAAGATCTCCAATCCTGAATTGCCTATTTTGTTATAACCCCATAGTGCAGTCAGCTTCTTTTCATTAGATGGAGTTTATAACTGAAGTTCCAGAGGAAGGTTAGATCCTGATGTAATCTACTCACTTACACGTGTAAGTCTCACACCAAGGACTTCCCTTCATGTATCTCTGCTGTATCCCTCCTGCCACCTCATCTACACAAAAGCCCCTAGCTCACTTGTTGCAATAGTATAGGCTATCCACACAGCTAGACTACCATTCCCTTAGCTAGGCAACTCGGGCCAAATACTTTCTATGTTTCATCCCTCTATCACAATCATTAAGATTTACCCAACTACTGAAAGAAGTTAGCCTCATTAGTTCATAGTTACCCTTGCAAAATACTAGTTATTAGATATTCTGTGTTTTTTTTAAACTGACCGATTGCAATGCTTTCTCAGTCTAATACTGGTCTTATCTAATACTGGTCTTATCATAATTCCTTACTGGAAAAGGTTTAATGCTCTTTTAATGTTCATTAGCTGCTGAAACAAAAGATCCATATTTTTTCAGAAGAAACACTGGCAATAAAATAACACCAGTTAAGGATTGTAGATAAAGAAAATGCACAAAAATGGGTAAAATAAAGAATCATAATTGGCTTGGTAGACAATGACATAAAAAGAAACATAATACATTAAATATTACTATAATTTAGATCACCAAGTAACTTTTTCCTTTTAAACCAAATTTAACTCTGTTTACTTAGAACACACATGTCAACTGCAAACTTGAGGCTTCATGGCCCTGAAAGGAATCCAGGGCTAACAACAGTCCCTCTCCACCAAAATAGTATCATGTGCTAGGTGGATGTGGAATAAATGCTTTGCAGCTGTTGTTGCTCTGACTTAACCTGAAGACATATTAAGCTCAGAGTGTTCTGGAAACATTGTGCAACACCCCATTTTCTTTTTTATTTCTCCAACACATAGCCTTCTTCTTAGAGAAAGGAATGTTTTCCAGAACTTTGTTTTTTCTTCATCTACTTCTGTTTTTGTACTTTTATTTATATCTACTTTCGGCAATGCACTTTTCTGACAGATGCTTATTTTATCTTTGGGGTGCTCAGTCTGTAGTTCAGTAGTACTCTTGTAGTTGTATTTATTACCTGTAGTCCTGAAATGTCTATAGGTAAGTCCTTAATGCAGTGTATGGTAGTACTTTACCCATATGCTCTATGTGTACCTCCATCCATTTTCTAACCACTTCATCCAATTCTGGGTCACGGGGGATCTGGAGCCTATACCAGCCAGCAACAGGCACAAGGCAGGACACGCTGGCCAGAACCAGTCAATTACAGAGCAAACATGCAGATGCAAATACACACACACTCACACCTGGGCCAATCTTCCCCGAAGACAATTAACCTGCTGTACTAGCATGTCTTATACCGTAGAAGGAAACTGCAGCACTCAAGTGAAAACCCACATGAACACGGTGAGAACATACAAACTCCGTGCAGATAGCAGCCCAGGAATGAATAATAATGACACTCCACTCAAAGTGCTTTACAGGTAATGGGGACTCCCCTCCACCACCCCCAGTGTGCAGCCCCACCTGGATGATGTGATGGCAGCTAGATTGTGAATGATTGAACATGGGGAGAGAACACAAGCTCCACGTACTGTAGAGAGCACCCCAGGAAAAGGGCCCAGTGCCCCAGCACTGTGTGACATCAATGCTAACCACTGTGGCACCCCTAGCTCAACACAATTTTAAATACTGCACGAAGCCTAAACTAGATGATCATCCACATAGAAAGGTTACGAATGAGAAGAGATTTGGCCCAGCTTGCCCATCTAGTAGTATTATGTAAGTTTGACCACTATTCGCCAAGGGACGGAGCACAGTTGTTGGACTGCTGTCACAGGGAGGGTGGTCTTGAGTTTCCAGCACACAGAAGCTCATGTGACTTTGCAGGGTGCCTGCAGGTGAGCAGTAACATCAGTGAGAGACGCATAGGTCCTACGGGGAATGACAGCTCTCCCGTCAGGCTCTATGGAGCTTGCAACATGTCTAAATGACAAATGGCTTTGTGGTGAATGTGTTGGAGGAGCACGTCCGTGTGTCTCATTCTCTGCTGAGCGAGTGTGGGAAGCACTCCCAGAGAGTCAAGTTTTCAAATGGGTGCTGAATCCAAATTGGGTGCATATACAATTAAAGAAAACAATTATTACAATTGCTTTATTTACAACAGTGATTCTCAAACTATGGTACGTGGCGCGCCATATGACCCTGGAACTTTGTTGTGTGGACTGAAAAATCGGAACGGGTTTTCATATTTTCTATTTTAATACGTGTCGAATACATAGCCTGTGTACTACAATACAGTGTGCACTGATACTTAAATGGACACAGAGCTACAATGTAATTCTATACCACTCTATAGAAATGTGTGCTACGAACGCAAGTGATCAATTGTATTTCAAAAAGAATATCTCCAGCAAATGGAGAGGTAGGAGAATGTGCGTGATTTTGGAACAATGCCAATGTTGTAAACACAGGAAAGCCTAGAAATGCGTACTACGAACCCTGGGAATCTTGTGGAGCACAGGAAAGCGTGATACTGTAGATAACAGAAAATATTTAAGAACTGTTCTAGGTTAATTTGAGAAAAATACACCGAACGTCTCTGTGTTTCGCTCCTGAAATGGAAACGGGGAAAAACGCAAGCTTGCGGATTGCTAAAGCAGGTAAGCCCCACACCACTTGTGAAGAACTTTGTTTACCGTTGGCAAAAGAGCTGACACGTACTGTACAGTATTATGTGTGGAGAAAAAGCTGCTGAACAGCTCGACTTGCTGCCCCCTCCGAAAGACGCATTCACTCATAATTATTGATATGGCGGATGATGTCAAAAGTACGCCGACAGATCGTGTTAAGATGAACAGATGCTTTTCACTGCAAGTACATGTAGATGAGTCTTTAAATGTTGATTTGGCCAATTTGCACGTTTACGTTCGATACGAGTTTGAGGGCGTGTCCCATGACGACTTTCTGTTCTGTAAGCCGCTACCAACAGGAACTACAGGAGAGCACGTATTTCAGCTTCTGAATGAATTTATCGAAAAGAATGGCATCGACTGGATAAAATGCGTCGGAGTTTGTATAGACGGTGCTAGAGCGATGACAAGCCGGCACAGCGGTGTAGTTGCACGAATTAGAGAGGTTGCTCCAGATATGAACTGCAGCATCCACCGCGAGTCCTTGGCCATCAAGAAAATGCCTGAGGATTTAAAATCTGTAAGACTCTGTTGTGAATTGTATCAGGGCTCTACCAATGAATTCACATCTGCTTTGCTCGATTAACAGGCTCACCCCTCTCACTGAAATGGTGTTTTTTTATTGTTTATTTTTTAATTGTTGTTGTTGTTCCTTTTGTCATTCTGTAAAGTGCTTTGAGAAGCCACCTTTAAAGGCGCAAATAAATATATCAAATAAAGTTTATTATAATATTTATTATATGTGTATGTGAGTGTGTGCGCGCACACACACTCATGTTGGTCATTGAGATTTTCTGGGGTTCCTATGAGAAGATGAATTGTAGGTGGTACTTGGATGCTTTGGTTTGATCAGGGGTGGTACTTGGTCCAAAACGTTTGAGAACCACTGACATACATAATACATATGAATAACCTTACTGATGCACTTTAGTTATTGTGTGACTTTAACATTGATGTGGTTGGCCATGTATTCCACTGCATACTGTAGTTATAGCTAGCATTTTCTTTCCATGAAGGTTAATATTGCCAGGTGAAGGGTGAGGAAATAAAAAGGAAACAAATGCTTTTTGTGTCACAAAGTACACATAGAGAAAGTGGAATATATTGTCATCAGAAGAAGAAAAAGAGCTTGTGAATTTTCAAATGCTTTTTATCCTAAAGGGTCTAAAAGCACTTCACATATAGGCGTGGACTCACACCATCAACCACTGAAGTGCAGTCCCCACGTGGGTAACATGTGTAGCCAACAGTCCCAGGACACCTCAAATCAGGTGGAGAAATGCAAAATGCACTCATTATTTGAATTAATTAAGGGGGAAATTTAGATAGGCAAAGGGGGCTTTTACATCTCCTGTTATATAGCGAGCCCAGTCCCCATACAGTGGCATTGCTTTGGAAAAATCTGGTTCTTAACAATAGACCTACTGTAGAGCCATAAAGTTGGAATTCCTCTGTCACTCACTGCCAGCTTTGTAAAACCATAACTTCAGCCTGTGGAGTCTCTGTCCTTGGGTGGCAGGTGCTCTGAGTAAATATTTTTCAATCCGCTATCTTGGATAGATACAGCCTTTTGTGTAAAGCCAGAAGACACAGGTGCTAATTGATGCACCCGCTTTTCCATGCACAGAAGTTCCCTGTGTCATTTTCCTCCCTCCTGGCTTTAACGTAAGGAACATTCAATTTCCACCCATCTCTGACTCTTGAGTTCTGACTAACATTATTGCGTCTACCACAGTTTGTTATGTGCTCTTCTGGTTCCAGCAGTGCTGTGGAAAGCCTGGGCCTTGCAGGGGCCTGGTATTTGAGTTCAAAGATCACAGCGCGTCATTTTCTTACCGGATCAGTTTGCACAAACATTTGTATTTTGGTATTGTGTGTTAGTGCATACTGTATATTCTGACTTATTAGATTACTCAGCTGCTGAAAATTATATTTCAAATTATTCTACCAGTTCTGTCAACCTTTTCGCCGTTAGTGCACTGCGAGCTTCGTCCTCTGTTTCAGCACCACAACAAAGGCAATCTGTTTTGGTGCGATTTTTTTTTTCTTTACCAGGTTCCCTTTTTAGACCCAGTTTTGTAGAAAGGGCGGTTTCATTCTTCAGCGGCTGTTTCTTCTTCTTCTTGTGGATTCTCAGTGTTTGGGGGGCAGATAAGTGGTTACTCTCAGAGCACCTGCTGGTGGAAGAGGGCTTATCACACTGTCACAGAGTCTGCGCTCATCCTCCCCTGGCCGCCTCAGACAAGGGAAAAAAACAAAACAACAAAGCGTTCTTTCTTCTTTCCTCTTTTTGTCTAACCATCTCACGCTCACTGGACAGGAAAACAATGTGAAATATTCCAAGGACAACCTGGCTTGTAAGGAGATAAAAACCAGGTTCCCAGGCTACTACAAGTAAGACATTCCCTCCCTGACATTTCACGACCAGTGGACATACATTGTCCACACTTCCCTGAAAGTAGGAAGGATAAAAGGCTCTGTTTCCTCCAGCCCTCATTTAAGCACAAAACAAGACAGAAGTCTGCGTGTACCTCTCCAAATTGTAGCTTAACCGCTCACTTTCCTCAGAGATGTCCATCCTCCTGTTTCTTGTGGCATTCCTGTTTGGCTGTCCCGTGGGAAAGGCCTCTACCCTGCGTCCCTCCAGGGTGCTCCCCTCAGCAGGGCCTGTGGCCTCTGTCTCCGACGTGCCCGTGGTACCGATGACCAGGTGAGACATGACCTCTGCGTATTTTTCCATGCAGGGCGCTTATCGATTGGGTGTGCGGAATAGTGTACTGTATGCCTGAGAGGAGAGAGGAAAAAACCCCAGAAAGGTGACAAAAAAGAAATCCCAACAGTGCCAGGTGGCAGGTTAAAGATTGGATAACAGCACTAAACAATACTCTAGTACTGGTCAAGAATCAAGCTGATCGAATTAGGGAATTAAATGATGTTGTATATTAAATGGGATAATTGTATTGGTGCAGTACAAAGGATACTGTACAGTATATAAGATTGTTTTACACGGCTTAGTGTCTCTAATACTACAGGCAGTTCTTTGGTTCTTAAGGGGCAGTTGTTACAAGGAATGATAATCGGTTTAGATTTCTTATATAATGTTTTATTTCTTTCTTTATTAATAAATGACTTAATGAAATTATGAAAAGCACCATTTGTAAAGAATGCTCTTGTCGCATTTTGAAAGAAAGTCTTAAATGTGTATACCATCAAACACATGCCACAGAGCATGTGAAATGCCATTTTCTCTATCTTCTTGTTAAAAGTTGACTGTTTTGAAGAGAGCGGTATTTTTGAAGATAAACAGTGACAAATCTTCTTACAGTATATTGAAACAACTGCTGTGAAGACGTAATTTCATTTTATTTAATTACAACATGACAATAATGTAAACTTTTACCATTTAATTATAATGGCCTCAAGCTGCCACTTTAGCAAGTCTTGTGTTCAACCAGCATGCTCTTACAGCATTTATTAAAGAGATCCAATATGATATGCAGCATAGAAAATGGATATTGAAGGATAAAGATTAGTCTTTATAAAAAGCAATTTCAAGTTAAGTATTAAGGCAACACAGCAGGACTTCTTTGTAAAATGAAAGGCCAGCTCTTAGTGTTTACCAGTTTATTAGTGCTTGTCCTGTCTCACCTTTAGGGAGAGTGTGATTATTTAATACATGATACTTCAAAACTTAATAAATACCTTGATAGGTAATTCAGATCTTGGTGTTTAAAAATAAAGATCTTTGGAATTGCCAGGGGTCCCTTTACAGTACCTTGTCCATAGAATTAGTGCACATAAAATCATGCTAAGGTAAAAGAAGCAGACATATCATAGCAAATACATCAAAATGTATGCAGGCAGCAGATGGGGGGTCATTTTTAAGGAGTGCAGGGTAAATCAGTGGTGTTGGTCACCAGTCTCTCCCTGTGTCTGCTACTTTCAATAGCTGGGTCTTTAACCCAACATAAAGTAATCCAGGCATTTTGGCAACATTGCAATGAAACTAACCTGTTCTTTCATGTTTTGTGAAATTGCGGAGCCTGTGCTAACTTCCCTGGAGCAAAATGGAGGGAATTCCACCTTCTTAAAAAAAAACATAAAACACATTGGTTGCATTAGAAACTGGAAAAAAATAATTTGGAGCCAAATAGCTTTCCCTTAACCTCATCCTGTCTTACCAAAGACAGTTAAGTTACCTCAGGGCACAAATGGCGTGCATTATGCTCATTAAAAAGACACTACTGTTTGTCTGTTACTAAGTTGAGACAGGGTACTACATGATAGATCCATAGTTGAGTTCTTTAGGTTTGGCATTGAGAAGAAGTTCTTGTATTTTTACAGAGATATTTTATTGGTTATTCATCTGGGGGGGGTTGCATGTGATTTCAGAGCTAACCCGAGGCCATTAAAACAAAAGATCAAGTAATTTTCTAATTACAGTAAACTGCAAATCATTTGGATTTAACAGCAAAAGAGAGTTTGAAAATAAATCTTTGTGTGAGTCGCCTTCTTATTTTCAACAAAGATATTGGCTTCATTAACACTACTCCACACTCCAGTAAGGAGTACTACAGCTAATGCGCTTGGTGGCTCATTAACAGATACCCCCAATTCACTCTCCCTGATCACAATGTTCATGTCTGCGGTTCAGTTGCATGTTACTTTGCTGTTTCGTTTAAGCCGAGATGCTAGGGCCTCTTCTCTGCGCTCAGATATGTGCTGTTTTACTGCGGTTCTTTCTCATGTGGTACAGTTTTACATCCAAAAAGCAATGCCAGGAGGCTGAGATGTAACACCGCAGTGAAGTTAAGAAAACAACATTCCTTCAAAAACAAAGACTCAACTGTCTAAAATTGCACAATCAAGTGAGCTGCCAGCCAACTGAAGAGCCGCTGAGATATTAACTGGGTTTACCTAATTACACAGAGGCCTTCTGAAAATATTGTGCTAAATATTTGTGTTATATAGTATACCCACATCCGTAGATAGAGATATTTTGTCAAAGCAAAGATTTTTAAGGGGACTAAAGGAGTTGTTATTAAAAGTTTTGTGTTAAAATGTGCTACAGTATCTCCTAAACTGTGAAAATAACTCAAGATTGTCTGCTACTAAAAAGCTGGACACTGACAGTGGAGCAGTGTGTCAGGCTCGTGGAGATATTCAGTAACCTTTTTCCCCCAAGTGCATATCCACAAAAAAACAGAATAACAAAACAAAAGGCTCAATGGTTTGCTTAATGATAAACATTCATAAGGCTTGCTGAGACTACAGTGGATCAGAGTCGCTGGCACATTCTGGGATATAAAAAAACGTAAACATGAAATAAGGGTAAGAATTTAATAGAACATAGCAATTATACTATAGAAGTGTTAAAGAAAAAACAGAAATGTCAGAAAACTACAGAACTGTAGTAGAATGTAACTTGACCTGTTTGTCTCCAACTCTGAAACTAGTTGTCAAGGGGAACCACTGCAGACCATCAGAACGAAGCTACTTGAAGCTTTCAGCCTGAAACAGGCTCCTGATGTGAATCCGGAAGGCATGAGTGAGCTGAGAGACCACTGGAAAGCTGCCCTAAGTGTTTTTTCCAAGAATTCAGAGACATCCGAGACAGCCACTGGTAAAGAATATCCCACTGTACAAAAAACACTCTTTGAAAGATGAATCCTTAGTCAATTAATTAGAAGACAGTGAAGACCAATTCTATTGATTAACCGAACACTACTCTCTAGTCTAGAGTATCTATTCCCGGTGTGCGCACACTCAGGTTGCTTTACAAATCAAAGTTACAATTGTAGAATAATACAAAATGTGGGTAAAAATTTGAGTTTAAGGAGAACAAGTTTCAAACTCAATTATTAAATAGTTACAAACTATTAAAACAGGTATTATTTGTAGTCAAGGTGCTAGGCACTTTCTAATTATTTATTTTGAGCCACATGCAGACAATACTTTTTTATTTGATTGTGTTAAACCTGATGTGAGGGGCTCAAGCTGGAAAAGCATGACAGCACAGGTATCCCTGTTGTCCAGACATCAAAGGCTCAGTCTGAACCAGACCCTCTCACCAGCAGTGACCAGGAAGACACTGACAGCACTCAGCCGGCTGGGTGAGGTCAGAGTGGGGCTGGTTTGTCAGTGAGAGCAGCATTGCTCCAGTCACCGATGCTGTATCGCCTGTGGTGCTTGTGTTTCACACCACAGTGTGCACAGACCTTCTTCAGAGTGGCTCAGCCCTATAAGAAATGCTGTCAACTCCCAATCATCCAGCAGAACACAAGAGCGTCACTTCTACTCCGTCTGAGGCTACCCTCAAGGCCTGTCTGTTGGCGGTCGCTGCAGTAAAAAGTCAATTAACAACTGGCAGTTCTTAATTGGCTATTGATTTGCTTGTTTTAATATCTATCCATCCATCCTTTATTCAGGTGAGCAGGTGCCTATCTCAGCCAGCAACACACACAAGGCAGGATACACCCTTGACGGGATACCAGTGCATCGCAGGGAACACACTGACACAGACACTCACATGAGAGCCAGTTTTTCCCATGAACCTACCAGCATGTCTTTGGACTGTGGGAGGAAACCGGTGCTTCCCGAGGAAAGCCACACACACAGGGAGAACATGCAAACTCCACACAAATAGCACCCCAGGAATTGAATCCAGGGCTCCAGCACTGCAAGGCAGCAATGCTAATGACTGTGCCACCCCTTGTGTTAATATAATATATATGTTAATATAAAATTAGCAAAACATCCAGAGCTTATCCACGACTATTGAGAGAATAAAAAGTTCAATTCCAGAACCATTTTAGTAGCTAAATGCTCCAGAATATGAGCTTCTCTTTCCAGAATATCTGTATGTGTGCAAACAGACCTGTTGACTGGTATTGGTGTGGTTGTGACTGTCAGCATTTTTCTGCAGTGGGTAACACCGTCACCCTCCAGGAGTCTTACCTGAACAACTCCAAAAGCACCACAACGAGGGTGAGCTGCTGCAAGATGACATCACAGGTCTTTATCAAAGGTAGGCTTCATTTCAGAACGCGACACTGAACCGTACTGCCTTCTGAAGCATGGTCATTCAAATACCTGTCATCCACTGTGACTACAATAATTTAAGTGCTTAACTGTCAAGACTTTAATAGGTTTTAGATTTAGGTGAAAGATTTATTTAATTACAATGCTGAAGGGTTTCCCCGGTTATCAAAATCAGTTTATTCCAATATGGTGCACGGTAAATTAATGTTTAATAGCATTCAATTAGAAAAATATGAATACACAGAATTGCGATACATGGCCTAATACAGTACATACCTAAAAATGCTGAGAAGGTGGGCTCCAATTTATCATAACTGCAGAATGACAAGCCTGTTATATATAAAAACAGACTATGAGAATAATACAAATTATACCGATGTTTAAGAGTTAAGAGTTCATTTTGCTAGCGTAAGAGTTTTGCAATATCCATTACATATCCAGTTGTTATGTAATGTCTTACCTGACTTAACTTTGTTTTTCTTTTTTTACCTGATATTAATATTGCTCTTAAACTATGTAATCAAAACACGATTTGTGAATCTATGCTTATTTGTATGTTGTGGTGTAAGAGCCAAAAACGATTACCACCACAAATAAAAAATCAATCTTAAAAATAACTACACATAAAGAGGAGTGCAACTTTATATGTTACATTTAGAAAAATGTTTCTTTCTCTGCCGTTTGGTATGAAAATCTCAGAGGACTGCCGCTTTTCATAAGCAAGTCCAAAATGAGTCCAAAATGCTTTAGGCGGTGGGCATGGTTTTTTCCTGAAGGTGGTTTACAGTCGTTGTCTTGTGGTATTTTAAACGAACCTGCGGGACGGGGTCTCTCCCCGGGCAGGATTGGAGACAAAAAAAGGCCGATGTAACGGGAGGTGTACTCTCTTGCCACACCAGCTCCCACTCGCGAGTTTTTTCACAAGGCCTCTCTCTCCTGCTCCTGTCAGACCTGGGCTGGGAGACATGGATCCTGCACCCCGAGAGCTTCGCCTACGCCCAGTGTGTGGCCTGCGCGCCCCACAGAGACAGGGCCCGGCTCCGCTGCGGACCAGCCGGCCTCGCCTCCAGGCATCATGCCCCACAGGTGCTCTGCAGGGCTTCCTCTGCGGTATCCCACCCGTGCCGTTCAACACACAGTACGGTACCCTCAGGCACACATCCCAGGCGCTTCCAGACTGTTTTCAGGGGAAGCTGTCAATTATGAATCACTGCTATGGCCCAAGGGCAGAGGCTACTCAGATATGTGTGGGGCTTGCTAAGGATATTTGGTGTTACTATATTTAGATTTTCCACAACAATACCTACACAATCATGATTTTTCCATTTTTTATTCAATTAATTATTTACCGCTTTCTTTTTGTTTTGTTCTGTTGTTTTTTTTTGCTTTGAACGTGTGCATTATGTTGTGTATTTAGCAAATGTTATTAACCGTGTTTCCGTAGTGTAGTGGTTATCACATTCGCCTCACACGCGAAAAGGTCCCCGGTTCGAAACTGGGCAGGAACATGTTGGGGCGGAGCAGTGGCTCTGTGGCTAAGGATCTGTGCCTGTGGCTGGAGAGTTGCTGGTTCAAATCCTGAAGCTGGCAGACGAATCCTACTCCGTTGGGCCCCTGAGCAAGGCCCTTCACCCCAACTGCTCCAGGGGTGCTATTCAATGGCTGACCCTGTGCTCTGACCCCAAGCTTCTCTCCCTGTCTGTGTGTCTGTGTCTCATGGAGAGCAAGCTGGGGTATGAGAAAAGATAATTCCTGATGCAAGAAATTGTAAAGGGTTATAAAGTGATGTTATTATTATTATTAACTGCTGCTGCAAAAGTGTCCTGACTTTAAAAGCTTGAAACCAACGAAACGTGAAAACCGGACAGGGGTCTGGCTTCTTTTGCATCTCCGTCAAAACGACAGCAAAATCCCTTGAAAGGGGTACTGTAAAAATCCTAATGTAATCTTCATGTACAGTATATTCCATTTACTGGTAGTAGCAGCTCCTGAAAAACATGGGGAAACCTGGAGAATGCAATCATTAATTGAATAGCCCTTTAAGATCAATGCAAGTTCACCGATTCACTTTCTTTCGGTATTTGAGGTAGTCCAACCGATACTGACTCTATGGTGATTGTATTAGTCTTGGAAAAAAAAACTCAAAAACCGAGAATGCTTAGTTTAACTGAAAATGCAACACAATGTGGTTCCCAAGTTATCAGTGCTTTGTCTATGCGGCTGATAAACGAGGATACGCTGTGTGATGTCAATATGTCTCTTTGTGCAAGGTCGACACAGCTGTCCAAGCTCTTCAAGCTGATACCCTGGCTTCTTTCAAAAAGCCGCTGGATGAGACACTGTAATTAATTGGCCATTAAAATCAATCAAGCTAGAGAATTCTAACATTCCTCTTCAGAACTTATGTCGCCTTGGGAGTTGAAGAGGAAACACAGCTTCATTGGCAATAGTTTCCTATTCTGCCAACACACCAGTTTGCCAACACATGATCATCTTAAGGCAAGACGAAACAGGGCTCTGCCACGAAAATGAAGCCTCAAAGCAGGGTCATATTAAGCTATGAGTTCGGCAAATCACCAACGTTTTATTTGTATACCATTATATCCTAATCTTGCCTGCTCCCTCATCTACATATGTAAGTTTCACACTCAGGTTTTCCCCTTCACATACTGCATCTCTCTCGCATCCCACAATGCCTCCCGATCTGCACCCTTACAGCAGCTCCCTGGCTCAATCCTCTCTGTATTAACAAGGGGGAGGGGGCGGGGTTGGGTAGCCTGTCCTAATGGCTACACTGCCATTCCCTCAGCTAGGTGAGTCCGAACAAATAATTTCTACATATTTCTTTCCATTACTGCATTCACTAGCATCCAACAAAACTGCTGAAATGTGCAATTGCGGTCGCTTTCCCTCTGTTATAATTATAATATTAATAATAATAATAATACACTTTATTTTATATAGCGCCTTTAAAGGTGGCTTCTCAAAGCGCTTTACAGGATGACAATAACAATAAATAAGAAGACTACAAATTATCTTGGTCGTGGTAGACACATGCTTTGCTGCGTCCCTCTCTTCAGACCCCTGACGGGTCTCTCTGCTCCTGCTCCTCAGGTCTCCTGCTGTGGGCCTGTGGCGTTCCGCATGGTTCCCTTCATCTACCTTGACCACCACAGCACTCTGACCATCTCCAACATCCCACTGGTGCAAGACTGCAGCTGCACTACAGACCCTGGCACTGGTATGGAAAACTAACCACTGGTCTGTCTACAAATTAACTTTCCAAAGTGCTTGGGAGCCCACTCCGTCTTTGATGTGCCTTTTTTGGTCTTGGACAGAAAAAATAACAAAGTGCTTTAGACATAAGCTTAATGCCTTTCAGACGCTGTCATCGTAAGCATTCGGCTGCTCTTTTCATGGCAGTTCTCTGTTGGCTCACACTTTGTTTTCTAGGCCAGTCAAAATGCCCGTTTTAACGTTATTCCCTATTATGGAGAAGATTCTGAGCGCACAACTGAATGGAATGGACAGGGCTTGTCAAAGTAAAAAAACCTTCTGAATCTACAAGATTTCAGCAATGTGATCTGGCAAACGATTAAACACACAAGAACAAAGAATGCCTTTTGAATATTCTTCAGATATATCACCATGCTTTGCAGGCTTAGCAATGCTTTGGATAGACTTTTTGGGCCAGTTTTATATATTTCATGAAAAAAAAAAACATAAATCAAAGGATCCGCTAATATCATTGTCATTTTGCTGTAATTTAATATCTAAGACACCTTTCATGTTTCTGTGGGGTTCTTTTTTATCATTTTAGTTTAGCTCATAACCATATAAATAAATTATTTTACTGTTGATATGTGTTTGGACAGAAATAGTAAAACAAATGTGTATTGTGAGCTAGCATTTCAGCCTGATGTGTTATAGTACAAAACTACATTTTAGTTCACCCTTTGCAGAGCTAAAGTATGTTACCTGGTTTTATTCCTATGTAATATGTATGTCTGTATATGACATATCTTGAGAGGGAATTAAAAAGATTTAGGAGTTTTGTCATTTCCCAGACAAACTAAATGAGAACGGTTTAGTCAATAATTACTGGCTGCACTATTTCAATGGTGTTTAATGTATATGCAATAAATATAGCAAAGGGGACTGAAAAAATAGCATTTGAACCTTGAAAGCTCAAAATGATACATACATATACTGTACATATACATGGATATACATACCCCCTACTTTCAAAGTGAAAATATATTTAAACAATGGCTTTAATATTCTGTAATACCAGTTCTGCTGTTCCCTTCCATAATAACATTGTTTTTAATGGTGAGCAACTTTTGTTAAAACTCTAGGATGCACTGTATTATCTGGAAGCATGTGGGGTAGTGGCTAGGGTTCAGGATCTATCTAAGACAGGTTCACATCCTGACACGGGTTCCACAAGGTGTGCCACTCTGATTAATTCAGTGAAATACCAGATCTTGTGCGTGCATACCAATTTCAAGTCACTTTGAATAAAAGCATCAGCCAGAATTACTATAATAATGACCTTTGTCATCCTCATACAGTGATACAGTATATCATGCAGTTTTGGCAACAGCATTCATTTCAGGTTTCCACTGTGACCCAAAAGAAGCTGTAGCGTACCCCTTTTCAGCAGATATGGTTCTGGAGAGGCACCACATTGCTGCATTAAATGGGTTCCACACTGCATGATGTTCTGCCTCCACAGAGGTTGGATGATTCCTTCCAGAGTTCTAATTCCTTCCTAGATCAGCCAGCCAGCCAGCCAATCATGAACACTAGACTGCCACATTCCAGATCTCCAGAGCCACTTCTACAGGAAGAGATGAGATGTCCTGACATGATTGTACTCAATCGAGACCGAGAGCATCAGGACTCGAGGCTAGCAGGAAGGAAGCAGTCCACTCCAGAAAAAACAAAATGGTTACGTTTGGCAAAATCAGTATGTGGCTGTGACGCAGAATCTCACAGATTCTCACTGCTTTAAGCGCTGGATGGTGCCAAAGGCCACATTGTCAGATATGAGTCAGTGCAGCCCATTGGTTTGTGGTTGTAACATGAACTGTTAAAGCAAAGGTTGTTCACAATCAGTTTTGTTTATTCTATACAAACTGTGTAGATATATTCTATGGAGTGGAGTAGTAGTCAGTGGAATTTTCCCTTAGGATAATTTCTCTAAAATAGAAAGACTATTCTGTTTGCTCATCACATATTTTGTGGAGCCCAAGGGCAAAGTGTACTCTTAGCACAAACTGGAACTGAAACAAACTGAGCTGTTTTGTTCCATACTACCCATTTCTGGCAGTGTTTGCTGTGACCCAGGTGGTCGATAACATTTTCACACCCATGTCTGTCCTGAACTTGGATGAGATAGTCTGCATCATGGTGGGTCAACATATAACAATTAAGAAAAGAAAAAGTAAAAAAAAAAATTTACCACTTGTAAGTGCTTCACTGGAAACATAACACATCGTAATTTACTCAAATGATTTAACTGCGGTAGAATTCCTGCCTGAATTATTTACAGTCCTTGACAAATGTATTGCAAGCAATCATTACTTTGTTGATGTTTCAGCTTATCATTCCTTTGAGATGTAAATTATTACTATCCTTGGCTGAAGACAGAGCCATATCAATTTGTTTTTAGTTCTTTGATTTGTACAGTACATTACTGCAAGGTTTTAGCAACCCTGTAATCAGAAGGGCCTCCACAGGCGTGTGTCGAGACGGTGTTTTCTAATTTTACAGTCATCTGCAAATGTTTAGAAAACAGTGATAGAAATAACAGAAAAGGGCTGGAGAACACAAAAGTTGAACATCCAGCTTATAAATTTTGATTTAAAAAAAAATTAACTAGGAGGACAACAATGATGTGATACTGTATGTCAACTCTTGCCTCATGCAAAAATGATTTAAAATCCTGATGTATGTTGACTCATTTAAAGCAGAGGTCCCCAGTCCTGGAGGCCTGATGTGTCTGTAGCTTTCCCAGGTGTCTAGTTTAAGGCAACAGCACCTTGACAGTTGGCAGAGGTAGGAAAATTGGTGTGATGAAGCTGATAACAAGCTGAATCAGTTTGACAAGAGCCCATCTGGACTGAAAATCTGAAAATCACATTGGCACCGGGACCGACAACCCCTCATCTGAAACATCTAGAACAATAACTGAGTTGATTCATTTAATTTTCTGCGTCACCCGGAACACATCTGAATACTTTCTAGTAAAAACATTTGAAGGCTCCATCAGTACAGTACAAAGAAGATTGCTGAAGGAGATGGCTTATATCTGATGACCTTGAGTACATTTAAAAAAATTAAGATACTTTGTAATGAAGACTCTCTCAAACTGATTAGGCAAACATCCATGGAGTTCATCTTGGGCTTCAAAAAACTGAAGGCTTCAGAAAGTTGTTGAAAAATGTATTATACTGTGATTCACTGACTTAATGGACAAGGTCTATTTCAAACTGATCTTTCATCTGAGTTCTTGAAGCCCAAAATATACATGTACATTTTTGCTTTGGGTTGGTAATCTGCTCAGAATTGTGTGTAATGACACTAAAATACATTTTATACACCACTGTGCAAAACGTTTAGACATTTATCACTGTTGGATCCTTTGTATTTGTTTTTTCTTCATGCAGAAGAAAAGTTCTCTTGTAATCATTTGCTAATTTTTGTACTGAAATCACTGTATTTTGTCATATAAATAGCAGCCTTTGTCTTTTATGGATGTGTAGAGAGAAACAAATGATGGTAAAAATGAGACACACTGTACCTGTCAGTGAGCTGATTAGATTGGTAAATGTGAAGAATTTGCTACTGCAACACTTCATATTGGCTGCTCATGTATAGTTTACCATGATTTGTTGTGGTCGATTTTCTGTAGATTCTGACCAGTGTGACTTACAGACTGCTGAATAACCAGCTTGATTTATTCACACCCAAACTAAACTGTATTAACAGTCAAAATTGTATTAATAACAGTCAAATTTGTTAGAATTGAAGAAAACAACAGTGGAGTCTTGGAGTTTATTGCTGATGCTAATAACATACTATACATATATTATAACTCCCAATTGTGTCTACGTTGCAATGCATGTTACCTTTATCTTTTATGTCTTAGGAAACAAATTTCTGCTACTTTCCAATCAGATATATTTCATGCTATGAGTATAATGATGTATTCTGCATTTTTACATTACTGCATGTACGGTAATCCTCTGCTTATTGTTTTATCTTTTGGTTAAATAAAAGCATTACAAAATATTTCTAAGTCATTTTTATTTTACACCTCAAACATTTTCCAGCCACTATCTATGATCATATTTAACTATGTCAATTTAAAAATACATGCATACTTACATGTTCTCAAAATGTCATGAGATATGCCTAAATATGAAATTGCAGACATTTCAGAACCAGAATTTGGTCCTGTCATCTTGATCATAATCAAGACTGACAGAGAATTCCCACTAACTGAATTAGATATTCTTGTTTAATTCAGAACAAATTGCTACATATTTTATGTTATTTGTGAATATAGGTTCAGTAAATAATGTAACATAGTCTTGTTCGTGTTATGTAAGTAATTTTAATGCATGTGGTGCATGTCAAACTTAATTTATCAAGATATTTAAACATCTGAAGTATTTACAGAGCAAAGAGTGCAATATACTTGAATGTATCTGTAACTAAAAATGGTTCTGTGCAAGCTGTTCTTTGTGTGCACATATCTTCTGTTTCCACAAGTTATAAAGTAATATATTTTATTTTTAATTAAATAAAATTTCTCCAAATATGAAATGTTTCTAAAACGTTGCAGTGATGCTGCAGACAACTAGTTCTCTGCTTACATTAGTAATAATAAATAATAAAATACATAAAAATAAAAAACATACCGTATTTGAATACTGTGGAACCGTTCAAAGTAACTTTAAGATAAGGAACTTAAAACTGATCAGGGATCCTTAACATACATGTATTTGTATAGAATTTGTTTGTCGCTACCTTTGCTGCGTAAAGTTACTGTAACTGTACAGAAATAATTTCTTAAATCACTTCTGATTTCTTAAACCGCATTGTCAAATGCACACCATTTAAGAGGCAAGGGGATACCTTAAACTGTAATCTATCGTATCATGGACTTGCCATCTGAAAAAAAAAAATCTTAGATCATTGTTGGCAGGCGTCTGCAGAGTATAATTCGAATACGCCTCCTAGATTTTAGCTTCCTACAAAAAGAGCTGAAACGAGAGACCGAGAGAAAAGAAACCAGCGATATTCAAACGATGCGTTCTTGCTGGGTTTGCTTTGCGCGTGTGAGTATCCCTCGTCTGTGAAGAAGACAATTCATTTTGGAACCCAGATCCGCAATTTCTGTTCACCTTAAAAAAAAAAAGAAAGAAAGAAACCGAACCCTGCCTTCTGAAATACCCCAGACATCTCAGAGTGTCGGCATGCAGGGGTGCCGGTTGATCCGCGTGTGGTGCTTCTTTTGGCTAGCACTATCGTCGCAGCTCTTGGCCTTTGTGTTGTCTCTGGACAGTCACAGGCAATGCTCGGAGGACGACCAGCTGCTGTTTGAGGAACACATCGAAGGACAGACCAAGCCGGTCCTTGAAAATGGCTGTTTGATGCAATGTACGCTCGAAGTTTACTCAAGAATGTCTAAAAGAAAAAATCTTATGATATCAGCGGTCCGCCTCAACCTTGGGAGCGCAGGTAAGCACGTTTTTTTTTTTGCGACCAGAAATGTAAATATTCAAGGCAGCACCAACAACGTTTAAACTTTTAAACGTTTTAGGCTAAACAGTATTGGAACAAGTAATAGGTTTATTCCATGTTGAAAAAAAGAAGAAAAAACAAAGTTTCAGCCGTGGAGCCTTCTTCAGGTGACATCTTTGCAGCCTACCCAGGCTGACGCAGCTACCCACCTAAACTGTATTGGTTTTGGTAATCTGTCATTATCGATATTCTTGCTCGATTAGGCTACGGTGGAGTCATACAGTACTTATTAAGAATAATTAACGTGTTAAATGTAATGTAGCACCTACACACAGACTGCGCATTCAGAACTTTACTCGTGAGAATCTTTTTTTTGCCAACTTTGTGTTTTTTGACCCGTTTTGGCAGATTTGTAATTTTAGACCTATTGAACAACAATGATGCAATTATCAAGTAAATCGTAATCCACGCACACGAGATAGTACTTTTTTTTTGCCAAAGAAGTCTTTTATACTCAATGGAAGTCAAAAGCATTAGCTCGATGTTCAATAAGATTTAAAATCCCAAAATCCCATGTCCTTCCTCAATAATTTCACACAGCACATGAAAACGAAATACAGTATAATCTATTTAGATTAGGAATACTTTTAAGCAATAAATCAAGTGAGTAATTTGTTCAGTTAAGGGAAGAATTGGTCTTAAAGTATATCTTAACTGAAAAATTGGAATAAAAAAGAAAAATAATCTGCTTTACTGATCACAGTTAATTTTACGCAGGTCTATTGAAACCAATTAAATAATGGCAATTTGTAAAACCTGCTAGAGCACTGAGGGGCCAAAACCAAAAGGCCAGCAGTACTTTTTCCTTTTCTCCTGTGCCTTTTTATTTTTTGTGGTTGCATGTTGTTGAAAGGCAGCATGGTTGTCCAGTGATTCACATAGCTACCTCACAATGCTGGTGCCCTGGGTTCAGCACCGAACCTGAGGTGCTGTCTGCATGGAGTTTGTATGTTCTCCACATGTTCACCTGTGTTTCTTCTGGAAAACTGTCCCTGGTTTGAGTGTGTGTGTCTGTGTCTGCCCTGCAGTGGACTGGTGTCCTGTCCAGGGTGTGCCCTGCCGTGTGCCCGTTGCTTGCTGGGATAGGCTCCAGCTCCCCCACGACCCTGAACTGGAAGAAAATGAGAAAATGGGCAGATGTATGGTTGCAAATGTGAACACTGACTGGAAAAGGTTCCAGCCTGATACACATTTACTTTGTTTCAAAACTTACTTTTAGCATTGCTATGTTGCCTCTTATTCAACTTACTTTTAATCATCAGAACCAGTTTTTTTGTGTCTGCGTGGTGGACAGGACAATCCCGTTACAGATTGTAGGTCTTCATCAAATCAAAACCAATTTCTAAAAACACAATACTTGCTTGATTCATCAGTAGTTTACAGGTGTTGCCAATCTTTAAAATCAGTGACCAAAAAAAACCCAACTGGATCTAGGCTCTATAGGACCAGGATTGGATATCCTTTCTGTAGGTGGAAACACTTGTTTAAATGGCCATGGTCATTAAATGTTGTCTTAAATTGCCTTGCAAAGTGTTTTATCCATTCCATGGTAGGTTGCACGGAAATCCACACCACTCTCAGCTACATATACACAGGAGATGCCCGTCCAGTCAATTAAACAGACAAAGAATCTTTACATGCTCGTTTTTTGTAGCACCGAAGTAAAAACCTTATAACCATACCAGGTGGGAATAGTACTCTTGTTATAATGAATGATAAGAAATAATGCTTAACATGATAAGATAACACTTAAGGGCAAAAGTTACGAATAAGAGCATGCCCTTTGTGCCCCAGCTAGGTTGTTGAGTTGCTGAAATATATTTGATCAGAGGGTCTCAGCCAGCTGTTTCTTGTTGTCCTCCAACCCTCTGCGTAAAAAAGTGCCTCCTGTCCTCGGTTTTAGTGCAAATTAGTGCACATGTTGTTTCCACTTGTGCCCTCTGGTTTGTGTTTCCCTGTTCATTCTCAGGAAGCCCACTGGGTTGTCTCTGTCAGTGTGTTTTTCAGAAAGCACTTTCTTGAAACCTTCTAAACCTTTGTTTTGGACTCTATCTACAGGTATTCAGTATTAAAGTATATGTTGAAGCGTACCACATTAGGTTCACAGTTCCTTAATAGTACTTTTGCGTCTGTGTTCCTCAATGTGTTTGGATTGGTTGGTCTTTCAAATAGGTGGTCTGGCAAACAAAGTAAGGAGGCTGCATTAGTCATAATTAGTAATATAATAAATAGGTGAAGAGAAACACAACCGTTTTTTAGGCATTGTTAACCAATGTTGTTTATTCAATTAAACCTCTATATGCCGTAAATTATATCATTCTGGAGTTTCTTGAACACTGATGCATCACAGCAGCCAGCAGTAAGGTTTTGGAGTAGACTACAGTAGTTTCAAACAGGGGTTTCTAGTACTTTCACACCATCTCTGTAGAGTTCTCACAGGATGACAACTTGCAGATCGAACTGGGGGTTTGTTTTTCCAGCTGACAGATGTCCTACACATGAACCAAGAGCCCAGGGGTTTAGGGGATTGTATTTGTGCAGTGAGGGATACATGCTTGGGCAAAGTCAGCTGTATGTGCAAGGAGGGACATGCACACTGTGTGGTGCTGTATCTCCAGGGATTGCGGGAGGTGGGAAGGACCACTGACCCAGAACCATCCATTAGTGCAGTGGTTCCCAATGGGGTTCTGGTGACCCACACACCTGTTGGGTTTTGTTCCAGCTGAACCCTTCATTGACTCAGTAAGAATAAGATGAATCTGAACTGTTTGTTTCCCAGCTCTTCCCCATGTTGGTGCTTTAACTGTTGTATTTTGTAACTGAAATTAAATCCCAAACTTGCGACTGGAAACAAAATGCAAATATTCCAATTAACCCACTTCTTAGGTCAATGAATGCTTCGATTATCGAATGAAGGTGGGCTGGAATGAACTCCAGCAGGTATGTGTGTGGGTGGTCACCAGGACTAGTACTGGGGACCACTGCTGTAGAGGTTTAGACAGTATGATCTGCACACTCCACTCAAAGCGCTTTACAGGTAATGGGGACTCCCCTCCACCACTGTGCAGCATCCACCTGGATGATGTGATGGCAGCCATAGTGCGCTAGTGTACTCACCACACACCAGCTATCTGTGGGGAGGAGAACTGGGTATTGAAGCCAATTCATATTATTATTAGGAGGCCATGATTGGTAAAGGTCAGGGGGAAATTTGGCCAGGACAATGGCGTAACATGCCTATTCTTTTTCAGAAACGCCCTGGGATTTTTAATAATAATAATGTTTCTTTATTAGCCCTATACAATTTCTTGCATTAGGAATTTATCTTTTTGCATACCCCAGCTTTTCTCCGTGGAGACAGACAGGGAGAGAAGCTTGGGGTCAGAGTGCAGGGTCTGCCATTGTACGGTGCCCCTGGAGCAGTTAGGGTTAAGGGCCTTGCTCAGGGGCCCAACGGAGTAGGATTCCTCTGCCGGCCACGGGATTTGAACCGGCAACCTTCTGGCCACAGGCGCAGATCCTTAGCCAAAGAGCCACCACTCCACCCCATGGACATGGACAATCAGGACCTCATCCTAAAGACAGCACCTTTTTCACAGTATAGTGTCCCCATCATTACAGGGCATTAAGACCCACACAGACCGCAGGGTGAGCGCCCACTACTGATTCCACTAACACCTCTTCCAGCAGCAACCTTAGTTTTTCCCAGGAGGTCTCCCATCCAGGTGCTGGCCAGACTCACACCTGCTGAGCTCCAGTGGGCTGCCAGCTGTGAGCTGCAGGGGGGTAGAGCTGCCGGCGTTCGCCCCCTGTGGGTCGACCTCCCATCCCTTTCTTTTGTAATTCGTTCCATCAGGGACTGAGTGGATTCACCTCTTTGATCTGGGCACTGACCAGGCATCACGCCCATTTCGATACTCCCCCCTGCGTAGGCGTAGGCTTGCAGATGTTGAAGCATAGACATTTATGGTGGTCTTTTCAGGAGTTCCCACAATGCCATGTTGAAGCCTAGGGAAGCAGAGGAAACGTGGAGATTTGACATGATTTTAGTGAGAGCGCGTTAGGCTTCGGAGGTATAGGGGAAGTACTGTAGTTTGATAGTGTACTCAGGTATACGCACTTGTATTTTGTACTTTTCTTCAGGTGTGGTGACAGCAGATTTTTCTCCTTCCCAGGCGCGGCTGGAGAGTACTGCTTTCCCACAAAGGTGAGGTGTACCAAGGGGCAGTACCTGCAGAGTGTCTTTGTGCTGTTGCCCGTAGAAACGGGGACGCAGGCAGTGGACGGCCCTGTTGCTCTGCGCCCCTCCTCCTCCTCCTCCCTCGATGAACGGGATCTCGTGAGGCTTCACCAGGGGCAGACGGGACTCGTTGACAACTGCGGGCTGCGCTTCAACGTCACCGAAGCCTTCACGGCCAGGCAGGGCGGCAAAGCCTTCTGTGTGGAAATCGTGTCGGAACAGGGCACCCCTGCCCTGAAATGCGAGCCGTTTCTGGCCACGGTGTGGTGGAGGCAACGTCGGCCCCCGGATTAGCTCCGTTCGGAGGGACCTGGTTTTCGGATTTGTTGACTGCAGCACACTGCCTGTTGTTCCGGAACACTCTCAGAACACTCTCTGGTTTCCAATCTTCCGGTTGTTCTATGTTTCGTTACGTAATGTGGAGAACAGCACTCAGATTTTATCGAAATGAGGACACTCTGTGAAACGCTTCAAAGCATATAAAATAAGGGCCAGAGTCCAAAGTTTAAAATGGTTGCATCCAAAATTTTAGAACTGATATTAAACAAATTGATCTAAACCATATAATCAGTCTGATAATCCTTGACCTCCCGGTCCGTCCTGCCTTGTGTTGTGATATTTTGAACCACTTTTAAAGGAATGCCATACTAGAGAATTGTGACAACCAAAACATCAGGTGTGTTTTGAGTTAGTGGGGTGGCCAGTACCTGTAATCCCTAAAGGAATGAATTTTAGAAATCAGTTACACAACATTTGTTGCACATTGCCAACATCAAGCTCAGCAACGTGATGGAAACTTGACAGAAAGTTTCTTTTAGACTTTCAGCTGGTTTGCAAATAAAGAATATCTGGAATGATGTGCTGATGAAAAAACAACAACAATTATTGCCAGAAAGATGAGATTTCTTTGCCTTTTCAGAAACCTCAGACCGTTGTTGCACTTAAATAGTACATTAATGAGTTTGAATTCTCTCACTGCTGTTTAAAGAAGGCAATCACTGTGAGTCTATTCTGTGGCCACCACCGCAGCCCACAATAGAGTCACAGTAGCAAACACTATCGTGTAGACTGCCAGGTTTTATATAACACTGACTCGGAATTGGTGAACATTGCCCAGTTACTAGATTGATTACTCTCGGTTGTTCTTCTGCACTGGTGTTTTCCTCCATCTCCTCTATCTTTATAAGCGCGACGGTGTTCATTTGAGATCTGAAGATTCCAACAGATATTTACTCTCTACCACAATGTAGACATTAGTTTCACACTTCGCTGAGGTCCACGGCTGTAAACAGCTCAGAAAGTAGGACCATTGTTCGAATTCCTAATTAGAAATTTCTCAATAGTTGCGTTCTGTATTTTTGGCAGAAAATCCATATATCATCATTGAATGTGGTGACCACGAGAAGCAGTAAATGACACTGCAGAACACATTGTGAGTAAAGTGTGATCCTTCCGTGTTCTGGCTGCAAATGCCCACTAATTTTTTGTCATGAAGGGAGTTATGGACACCAAGTGGGAAAACATACAAAACCTCACACCTGAAGAAGGCTCTACGGCCGAGACGTTGTGTTTTCTTTCTTCTCTTTTCAGCATGGAATAAACCTACGACTTGTTCCTTTGCAGCCGACGCATGCTGATGCAGCTACCCGCCTGAACATACAAAAACCTTTTCATTTACCTTTTCATTTTATTTTATTTACCTTTTCATTTTCAATGTTCCTTGTCCTTGTTGGTTCAGGTTAGAACCATTTACACACACAAAAATGCTTCTATCTCAAGACCTACCGTGATCAAAGTTGATACCAAGAGATGGCAGTGATAAAAGGGGTGTTATTACTGTCTGAATGACAGAATGTCACACGCAATGCCAACTTACTGTATAGAAGTGGAGATGAGTTCTGTTCCCCCCCCCCCCAGAAGATTTTAAAGTAACAATCCTGGTTTCTAAGCTTAGAAAAGGCTAAGGTCCTGCCTACCTCACTCACCTTCTTTTTTCAAACTTCACCCTGGTCTTTAAGATCCAGGTCAATTTTATCTGCTGCAGGTCCCCCCAGAACCAAACTGTGTTCTGTGGGTGACCTTGCTTTTCCGTCTCTGCTCACCTGTAGAATAACCTCCCCGATCATCTCCGACAAGCAGTTTCAACTGAGACTTTTACAACCGATTTTCAAACCCCTCTCCACCAGCAAGCCTATCAACGTCTAGTCCTATAAACGTCCTGACTTCCTATCTTTTTCCATCTTGGGTGCTGTTAGCCTTTCGTTTACAGTTCAGCTGGTTGAGATTCACTGTAATGAAATGCCCTATACAAATTAGATGTAATAATAACAGATGTCGTCTGTCAATGGTGAAGTTGAAGACTGTAGATATAATCATAAATAGAGATTTGAACAATTAGAGAACATCCAGAACATATTTATTGTTTTTTCAGACAATGACATGGGAGATGAAACAAAGCAAGAAAACCTACCAGAAAACAGTTATCTTTTGACAACAGGATTCTCAGAATAAGGCCTTTAACACCAAATGAGCAAGGAGCTCAGTGATGACGTCATTATTGTTTTGCCTGCATTAGAGATGTTGTTTTTCTGGTAAATGAGAAATTTAATGACTGGTCCCAATTTAACCAGATATCTTGCTACACAGCGGGTTTTTCTGTATTGCTTCTGAACACATCCGGTATATAGGTCACGCAAGGTTAAATCATTTGGTTTGCTCACTTTTAATTATTATCAGTTTTTGCGTAACCTGGATAGTTTTAGCTCAGTGAGGGATCTGGAGCTGTGAGCTGAGGTTTAAGAACCTGAAGTGGACAGAACCTGAATTGGGCAGAATGGAGTGATTGGATTGCTCATGGGGAGCACGAATCCTTAAACGTGGTTGATGGGTTTCTTGGATTTATAAGCTATGAAATATTTTACCATTGCAATAAACTGAACAGTCTTTAAGGTATTAAAGGCTATTGAATGGTATTTTTCTACTTAGTTTTAGATTTTATTTAATTCTGTTACGCATAATTCTCAGTTGTCTTCAATGTTAAGATTTTTGTAATGAAAGAAAAGTGAATTATTTGGGTGAATGTTTTCAAAGATACCATCTTTTGCATCACAGTTTTATATTGCTGCACAAAATAAAAGCAAGAGTGTATGAACACAGAAGATGATGGTAAGAGATCACAGAGATTCTTTCAGCCTGAAGGCTTTTGCTGCATTTTGCTTTCAAATAAATTGATACACGATTTTATTTCAATAAAGTGTTTCTTCCTTTCCGTATGCCTACTGCATAACAAGTGGAAATCAGAAGACTGCACTGCACTTAGCTATTGAGTATTTTATAAAAGGTGATGTTGCTCCTTGTACCCTGTTACCCTGAAAGAGAAAATTAGCCACAAACCCAGGGGGTATCTCTGGGAGCCCAGCTGCAGAGGACTGAGCATTTATACAAAAGCCGGGAGTCAGGAGTGTGATACAGTACCCTCACCTCATCCCCTCATCCTCAGCTCTCTGAGGCCATGAACATGACTGACTCACCTCCTGTCCTTCCTCCTGCATTGACGATTTCTGTGTTGGGTTGCCAGGCAGCCTCGGGAGCTTGGAAGCTACTCTTCTCTTTGGGGGAACAAGGTTCCAGAAGTCACTTCACATTCAATATCATTTCAAAACATAGCCACCAAGCAATAGAATAGCACACCTATGGGGTTATATTGTGGGCCTGGTGGGAGACTGTTATCCAAATCCAGAAGCATTGTGACAAGGATGCCAAGCTGTCTGGAGGACAGAGGCAACCACCAAGCGGATCAGAGCAACTAGCCAAATCCAGGAGCAACTAGCCAAATCCAGGAGATGGGACCTTGGACAGAGTGGGCCATGACGAGGGAGCACAGCTGATAGAAAAGCACCCTGTATGATGTAACACACTATGGACAGCCTATAAACCAAATCCAGTCAACAAAACAGTGCCAGGTCCACAGAGGGCACTGCATGACGAGACACTGGTCGTCAGCTTAGGGAAAGGGAGGAGGATGGACAGCCATCCTCTTCCAAGCCTGCTTCTCACTGCGTGGGGAGATGACCACTGGGAGGACTGCCAGCAGCTTGGACAGATAAAAAAACACCCTAACCTTCGGGCCATTTCCATGTAATATTTCTTCTGAAGGAAACCCCATTTCATGCAATTGAAGGGAAAGGTGGATTTTAAATATAACCAGGGGCTATACCACTCTGCAACTCACTGAAGCTCAGCAGGTGTGAGCCTGGTCAGTACCTGGATGGGAGACCTCCTGGGAAAGCTAAGGTTGCTGCTGGAAGAGGTGTTAGTGGGGCCAGCAGGGGGCGCTCACCCTGCAGTCTGGGTGGGTCCTAATGCCCCAGTATAGTATGGGATCACTGTACTGTAAAAAATACACCATCCTTTGGATAGGACGGAAAACTGAGGTCCCGACTCTCCGTGGTCATTAAAAATCCTGGGGCGTTTCTTAAAAAGATTAGGGGTGTTACCACAGTGTCCTAGCCAAAATTTCCCCCGGGTCTTTACCGATAATGGCCTCCTAATAATCCCCATGTCTGAATTGGTGGGGGCTGCACATTGGTGGTGGTGGAGGAGAGTCCCCATTACCTTTAAAGCACATTGAGTGGAGTGTCC